TCAATAAACACACACAGATAAACACATCACTTAAAAGTCACAATCAAAAGCCAAGGAAGGAGACAAACAGCCTAGAGCAGGAGTCCTCAACCTGTGGACCACAGCCTGGTAGTGGGCTGTGGCCTACTGGCCACTGGGCCATGGGGCAGGCTGGCCAGTGTGCATGTGTGCACACACATCCCATCACTTGTGCTAACACTGCGGCCGCAGGGCACAAAAACAGGATGGCGCACCACGGACCGCAGCTGCGCGTCATGGTGCAAAAATGGGATGCAGATGCCATGCCTCATGGCACGAAAATGGGTGCTACCACACCGCGGGGTGCAAAAACAGGCCGCTACCACACTGCAAGGTGCAAAAATGGACACCACACTGCCGTGGGGCACAGAAATAGGTCACCACCACACCGTGGGGTGCAAAAATGGGGTGCCACCACGCTGCAAGATGCAAAAATGGTTGCTGAAGCGCACAGAAACAAGGCGCTGCACCACACAAGAACAGGATAGGGTTAGTATCACGCGGGCGCTAGCCCTGCCCCATTTGCGGTATATGTGTACTTGCGGCCCTGTGCGCATATGCACGCACACATGTAAAATGCTTCCCCTCCTTTTTCCTCCGGTCTTCCAACCGACAAAGGTTGGTGGCCTCTGGCCTAGAGCACATCTCCTCCAGCAGCCAACATTCAGAAAGCAGAAAATAGCACCAGATAATCAAGGAAAAAATAACATGATCAAGAAACCATCGAAGAACCCATACCCTATCAAGATTGGCACATCAAACAACTATACACACATATGGAGCAACAAGCACCACTCTTACCTGTGCTGATAATTTTACCTGGCTGGATAATTACATGTCTGCAAGAAGACAACCAAGCTCTCAGAGCACCAAGAACACAACAAAGATAATAATAGTAAATATAAAAACTTAGGACAAATAGTTTTATAAACGGGCCTGAGAAGACGTCTGGCATAATTCTGAATGAAAATACAAAAAAAGTGGCAGTGAGCAACATTTGAGAAGTGCTAGGTGTTTCTTAATGCAAGCATGGAAGCAGAGAGATGTTTCATAGGTAATAGATGTTTTCTCCTTCAGATTGGAATGGGAAAGGAAAAAAGGCCTGAAAAAGGAATGAAGAAGTGGTGTAAAATCCAGTTTAAAAAGTATTAGTAACTTCTTGTACAGGTTAAGAGAAACTTAGTTACTCAAGAAAGAAAGACTAGAGTAGTCTGTGGCCCCTAGCTGATACTGAGAAACAAGTCTACAATTGGGACAGGCAAATCCCTTGTCAGGATACATAGGTAGAGGAAGGATACTTTCAGCTACAATATCCAATAGTTTCTACCAGCCAGGTATCAGGAGAAAGCATAGTAGATGCTGTCAGAAATTTAGGGAATGTCAAATGCAAAAGAGAAAATAAATACAAACTGCAATGGTAGAAGGACCTACAGTATTTATGCTGGAACCTTTTTCAAAAGTGGGTACAGACACTTGTAGGCTGTCTTTTCCAAGAACAGCTGTAGGAAATAGACATATACTGGTAGCTTGTGATTGCACACACTAATATTCAGAGGAAGTTACAATATAAGCCACCATGGCAAAATGGAGAGACGAGGGATTAATGGAAATCTTTAGCAGATTTAGCATATCTACTTAATCTATCCCTTGACAGATTAAGGGAACAATTTTAAATTAACCCTCCTAATATAGCTCCACAATGCTTTGTGAATGAAAGGATTGCAGACTAGTTCAAATCACCCATGAGCACACATGGGCTAATGGATTATTTAAGTCAGAGTCTCCAGAATATTTTTTTAAAAAAATATTCACTTCATTCCATTCATTAGGACATTTGATTGCCATCTTTCATTCTACATAGAGAAATACCACAGGCCTCATCAGGATTTAGTCCTTTTGAATTACTATATTTAAGATAGAGAATAGGGATCTTGGATGTAGTTTAAAAAACGTTGGATAACCAGAACTGAATATCCTAAACAACTGATTGAATAGGTACTAGTTCAAACTACAGTCTCTTATCAAATTCCCACAAGAACACTTAGCCTTGGCACAGGATTCACAGAAGAGGTGGTATGATAAAAATGTCTGGCAATATAAGGGCTACTGTTATGATGAGGCACCAAATGTAAAGTGCAATGACAAGTTACCTCCTCCACTGTGAAACAAACCCATCATTGGAAGCTATCAAATTGAGCTGCGTAATGAAAAATGTGAGCTTTACAATGCTAACTGCTTGAGAAAAGAGCAAGTTCTCCTGAATAAGGATAATCAAGTTTTCAAGGATTAGAGAATTTGAAGGATTAGATAGGATGAAGGATTAGAGAGGGAGGATTAAACCAGGGGTCCCCAACACCTGGGTTGTGGTCCACTATCAGGCCATGGCCTATTTGCAACCGGGGAGCGCAAGCAGCAGGCTGGTGCAGACATGCAGCTCAAGTTGCGTGAGCGGTGGGCTGATGCATGGGCACATATGCAAACAGCTCAACTTGCACAAGTTGAGCTGCACGTGCATGCCAACCGACTTGCATGAGTAGAACTGCACATGCATGCGTGCTCATCCGCCGCTCATGTGGCCTGGTTGTCCCCTCTGCCGGGCTGCTAAGTCAAAAAGCTTGGGGATTGCTTGATTAGACGGTACTTATAATCAAGAAGTACGGATCAACCGAGAACTATCTCCATTACAAAAAGAAAAACTAAACTGATCCAGATCTTCTAAACTACATTTATCAATGTCTCTGGAACAACCACATTATTTGAATATGGGCATGCTTTAGGTACCAACTTCTAGAGAGTGTTGGCTATCAGGATCCAGAAAGAAAACCTTTTCTCCTGTGGCACCCATCCTTTGGAACATCATTCCCCCTGAGATTAGACATGGCTTTGTGCTCAAACCTGGAGCTTTGCTGGCTGAGGAATTCTGGGAGTTGAAGTCCACAAGTCTTAAAGTTGCCAAGGTTGAGAACCCCTGGGTTAGAGCCTGTCTCATTTTATGAATGATAGGTTACATCATGTTTGGCTACTATATGTTTTTATTTTTGTTTTATTTTACATATTATAAGTTATTTCTTTCACTGTAAGCCACTAAGAATTGTGTAAAAGTGAAATGGGGGCCATATAAATTTATTTAAATAAATAAATAAATATATGTCAATGACATGAGGGGATGCCAAATAATAAGACATAGACCAGTGATGGCGAACCTTTTAGAGACAGAGTGCCCCAAAACTGCCCCGCCCCCCGCCCTGTCCCCACCCCGCCCTGCCCGAGGGCCACCCACCAACTCCACAGCCCACTGCAGATCGCCCAGGCAGCCCTACAGCTCCATGGCCACCACACCCTCTGCCCGCTCCCTCCATCATCTGCGTGTGACGGGGCGTGAGGGCGGAGTCTTGTGTCTGCTGCCCAGCTGCCATGTGCTTGGCTGCGCTGCTCCATGTGCACCGCGCCTGGGAACAACTCTCCTCCAAGGGGACTGTTGGTGGGGGGGCGCTGGGGGAGGCGGGGCTGGGGCAACGATGTGCTTGCCGACAGAGAGGGCTCCGAGTGCCACCTCTGGCACACATGCCATAGGTTCACCATCACTGACATAGACCATATTTATTCCAAAAGGATCCCAGAATACATTGGAAAAAGAGGTGGTAAAATGTTGAAATTGGAAATGTCTACAGGTACCCTTGACTTAGTCATGATGAAATCTTACCCCCTAGTGATAGATAATCTCACCCAGGAGCATCAGGTAGATACTAAATAGGAGTGAAGAAAGCACTGATTCCTCAAAGCAGGGGCCACAAGTTAGATCTTTTGCTCCCAATTAATCTTTTGTTCCCAATATCAACTGAAAACTGAAAACAGCTTTGCAGGAAGGAAGTGAACTAGGACAACACAATGCTCCCCAGTCCTAAGCCCCAGAGTCATTCCAGAATGCAATGGTTGATGGTATTGAAAGCTGTAGAGAGGTCAAGTAGAGCAAGGACTTGCTACCCTCTTGCTCTAACCACTACCTCCATGTAGCTCTTGTCAGAGATCCCAAAACATGACCAAATGCTATTTCCATCCTTCATCTAGGCCTGAAGTCCAACTAAAGGGATCCAAATAATCTGTTTCAATCTGGATCCTCTGGAACTTCAGCATGACTGCCTTCTCAACAACCTTCTACAAAAAGAGAAGGTTGGAGACAGGATGAAAATTGTCCATCAGGGTAACATTGAGTAACCACTTCTTAAGAAGAGGGTGCGTCACAATCTCCTTAATAGACTGGGGCATCACCCTCTCATTCATAGATGCATTATCTACTGCTAGTATCCACCAGCATATCATCCCCTGGGAAATTTTTACCAATCATGTGAGACACAAATCTAACCCACAGATGTCGGAGCTCACATTCCTTAGGATCCTGTCCACTTCCCCATGACAGGGTCAAATTCCCATGGTACGAATTCACATAGACATTGTCTTCATTTCTGCACAAAGAAGATTCCAGGAGTTCCAGTGACCAAAAACATGGAAAGTCCAGCCAGAAGCCTATCATCCTCCACACCAAAAGGTCCAGCTGTCACCCTTGGGGCAGACCAGGAGAACTCATGTTTTTCGCAACTTCCATCACCATCACACAGCCAGCACCAACTTAATAGAGGCGACCACATCACAAAATCGCACCTGAGTTCCTGAAACACACCATACATAAAAACTGCCATTTTGTCCCCAAATTAGGGAAACATTTCCACACGTGGAGTTTCTCTTATATTTCTGTATGCCCCTTTTTTACAATGTTAATGCATTATCAACTTAGGAAAGGGTAAAATTATAAACTGAAATAAAAAACCTCTGACATACTAAAAGCATTATTTTTAAAAAAAATTACAGGGAATTGTAAATAAGCATTATTAAATTACCCAGTGACTTTATGAATATTTGCCCTTCAGACTGAGGATAATTTAATTCACAACTATCATGCATAAGAAGAATGGTAGGATACTTACCATTCCATATTCTTGCATGAGCATACCATATAGTTGCCAACATTTGTCTTGCACCATCCCAGAAATCATTCAAGTGACCTTCTTTTATGTCTGTCCTTCTTTTGTAAATATGAACAATGATAGCAGAAATATAAAAGAGGAGGAGAAAAACTAGTGGAAGCAGAAATCCTATGAGTAGTGGCATAAATAGCCATATGAGATAGATGAGGTAACTCAAATATTCTCCCAGGCGTTCCACTCCAGTCCATTCTTCTAATACATAAAGCATGCATCTTAAATAGGATATGAATATCTGTTCTGTACCACAGGATTCATTTTGGTGTATCATGTTCTGTTTAAAAAGGAAATAAAACATAAAACATTTTAAAAGTCCAGACCATCATATATTTGTCCTTGAATTGTTAATTTGACTTTTAACTATTACATTGTATCATTAGAGAAAATACAAAAATGCAAATCTACACACGTCACCTAAGAAATGAGTCCAATTAAACTTAATAAAGCTTAATTCCAAATAAATGATTATAGAATTGCAGTCTTATATAGTAAATGAACATGTACTATGGTCACGGCCAAGTGTACCATCCGATCTAAGAACAACAAATCTGAGATCCTGACATACTTGTTTAGCTTGAAATTCTTGATTTTAACTTCATGTACTACTAAACAGCAATACAAGTTTTGTAATATTATGCAAAGCTTTCGTGTGATCCCTTATTTAATGCTGTACTCTAGTATCACTCTACCATTATACTATATCAAAAGGAAGTAACTTCAAGCATTGAAACCTCTAACATCCTAGAACAGTGGTGGCGAACCTATGGCACGGGTGCCAGAGGCGGCACTCAGAGCCCTCTCTGTGGGCACGCGCGCCATCACTCCAGTCCTAGGCCTTCAGCTGGGTTTTATAAAAGCTTTTCGCTTTAGGCCTCCGTTGCCGTGTACAAAAAAAAAATTCAATCTATCAGTCAATTTCAACTTCTCGCGAGAAAAAAAAAGATCTTGCAAAGTTGGAATTGATTGATTGAACTTTTTAGTCCCACCCAGTCTGTTGTTACCACCGTAGTCACGCCCACCCAATGGGCCACACCCACCCAGCACCCGATGATGCATAAGTGGGTTTTGGGTTACAGTTTGGGCACTCGGTCTCTAAAAGGTTCGCCATCACTGTCCTAGAATATATAAAAAATCAACTCCACATCCCTACAAAATACCCTTATTTTTAAATATGCATGTTTAGACACAATAGTCCAATTCATGCAAGGCAGAGTTATTGAACACTCAAAAGGGGGGTGAATTGGTGATATGTTCTTGAAATGGCCTCCTATCTCTTCTTGCAATTTTCTCAATCTATAAGAGTTTGAAAAGGTTGCCTCTTTACAGCAAAACCACAGAGAATCCTGTGGCACCTTAAAAAGATTTCCAAATTATTACCACATAAATTTTTTTGGGCTACAAATCTATTAGAGGCAACATCCATCAAGAAGCTGATTATGTAGACATAATAAATTTATCCACGATTGGCACCTGTCAGAAATGATTTGACACATGCATTAAATAATCTAGGTTCAGGCAGCCACTGGGAATTAAGATACACACTAATCTTTGATGATTTTCCTCCACCTGGGATTACTGGCTGATCATGCTTACTGGGAAGAATTAATGTTGCAACTTATCCCGAGGGTAACAGACTGGAAAAGCTGTCTGTTGGATATGCTTAATTTCAAGAAAGATGATCAGATGCAGCTTCTCATCTGCTCTTCAAAAACCTCTGGCTGGTACAGATTCTTCTCCAGTTTCACCTATCCTGTAAATTAGATTAACATTTTAATATGAGAAAGAGAAGGGGATTCTGTTCTTTTTCGTTTCATCCTACCAAAACCCAACCCAAATAAGGCCTTCAAAGCTTTGAATGCGATAGTTTCTTCACTTCGACACCCGCAGGATTCCTCTCGCAGTGGCAAAGGAAGAATACCTCCGGACTCTCGCTTTTACAATGAATTCCCTTGGGTGCCTTCAAGAAGCAGAACCGTCTCCCTTCAGGTTATACCGGCAGGATTTTCTTCCGACTGGGACGAGCCATGGAGAAGAGCTTTCAGGACAGACTGACAAGGAAGTGTCCTGCGCTCCGCGGGAATCAAGAAAAGGTTTTGGTTTTTTTGCCACAAAGGGTGCAACGAGGCCGGTCAGCCGAAAGGGAGCCCAATGCCAGTGCTGTCCACCTCACGGCCGGAATTGACTAACCCGGGTCAGCCCAGCCAGGGAAGAGCGGCCCGTCCGTCTCCCTCGCCCTCTTTCAAACGCAGGAAACGCTTCGCCGTCCGAAAGATCCCAGCTTTTATTCTGCTTTTCCTCTCCACGCCCAGAAAGGGCGGTATTGGGATCGGGCGCATCTACCCTAACCTGCGGCTCGCAACCCGAGAAGCGGAGCCCTCCGAGACGCGTGCCCGGGGCTCCTTTGAAGCTAAGAAAGGGGAGCCCATTCCAGCCTCCTACCGTGGGGCGCTTCCGAAGGAGGACCGGCGCGCACGCGCCTCGGAGGGTTCCGCTTCTCGGGTTGCGAGCTGCAGCGCCGCCATAAGTAGACCAATAAAGAGATCCACCGTCTTTAATACAGAAGGGGGGCGGGGGAGGCGGTCGGAGTGAAACCAGCCTTAAGTGGGAGCTAATAGGTGAACGAATAAGCCCGATATCTCGCCTTTCCCCCAGAAGCCCCAGACGGCATACCGCTTTTCCCCATTCCAGTTGTATCCTTCTAAAAAGTTGTTGGAGCCACCCTATTGGTCCACAGATGAAAGGGAAGCGTGACAAACCGTGTTGCCGGAATCCGCCAATACTCGAATTCAGTGTTTTGCCTGGTCTGCAATCAGGCTATGTGTTCACAAGACCCTGAATCAGAAAGCAAGTGACCTCTTTCAGCGAGTACAGTTGTGCGATCGGCACCAGTGAATTATAATTCCATACGAATCGTCTCGTCACTCTAATTTCTGTCTCTATCAAGCTCGAAGTCCCTGGACCAGGGGTAGGCAACCTTGGCTCTTTTATGACTCGTAGACTTCAACTCCCAGAATTCCTGAGCCAGCTATGCTGGCTCAGGAATTATGGGAGTTGAAGTCCACGAGTCATAAAAGAGCCAAGGTTGCCTACCTCTGGCGGCCTGGGCGATGCTGAAAGTAAGGCAAGACTTTGGCGCATGCTCGTTTTGCTCTGTGGCACTTCCTGTTTTTCATTTGCTCGACGCTTTCGTTCGCCGGGGCGTGAATATATATAGACCTCAGAGAATTTTGGATGCCTGCTCTAAACGATTTTGTATATCGTTACTCTATTACTCAGTCTGTAACAGTTCCAAGGGGAGACATATTAGCCTTTTGCAGCAAAAATGCAAAATGTTTATGACCTTTAAGTAATAATTGGGGAGGGTCTGTTTTATCTGTTTTTATATTTCACGTTTACTTTCTAACGCACAATCTTTTTTATGCATGTATTTCAGATTAAAATGTCTTCTGTTGCGGTTTCTGGACAAGGATACAAAGACCTTTACTTGAATTAGCAAAACTATTATAATTCAGAATGAAGCAGATGAGCCTAAAATCTTTCGGCTCCTCTACATTTTAAATTGCTATGGCAAAAAGATGTCTGTATAACTTTGACTAGAAGACCATCATCCCCCCCCCCTTTTCTGGTTCCACTTCAGAGAGGCACTGCTGAGCGTGTGTGACTGCCTAATGGAAGTCTATAGCAAAATATAGTAAGTTTAGAAGTATAAGCTGTTCTTAATGGTCACCTGAGATGCTGCAGGAATGTCTCCCTCACCCTCATTTCTCTAACCAACCATGGATTGCAGAAACAGAAGGGAAGATATTGGTATAATCTGTATTAAAAGACCTGCTTGCCCCCGCTTTATCACATAGATTTTCTGTACATATCCAACCATCTACTAGTAGACCTGTGATGTGTCCTGAATGGCCAGGCAACTTTGATGCAGGTGTGCTGAAACTGCAAGGGGAGTTAGGCAAAGAGACACCAACCCATGCTCAGAGCTTTGACCTACAGCCAAACAAAGAGAGTAATATGGAGAAAATAAAATTCCAGGTAAAATGTTCTTCAATCTGTACTTTTGGGGGAAAGGATGAGAAGACCCATTTCCCTGATTTCTTACCTTCCATTATTTCTTTTCCAAGGAACTGGAAGTAAGCATTTCCAGAGTGGAATGTAAAATAATGCCTCCACCTTCATAAAATAGGGATATTTCTTTAATTGAAACATTAAAATAGTCCTTGAATTTAGCTTTCCACATAGTGGCTGCTGTCACCATATACTTCTACCAACAATGAACAAGTTCTAAAAGCCTTTGCCTCACTTTGCCTCTTAACTGAAATTCTGACAGTCTTCATTTGACTTAAACAAAATATCCCACAAAAATATGTCTTCATTGGGAAAAGAGAGGTTTTATGTTGACAAGTCTGGACTGTGGCAGATGGAATTGAATGGTGAGATCCAATGCTGTGACTGCCTCTTGGGTGGTTCATGAGGTGCAAACATATTTCCTTCTTGTGCTATCAGACTTTTCTTAATCACTTTTAAAAAGTTTTGCTCTGAATTGATAGTAGTGCTATATTCAAGGAAATTTATGTAACACCGTCTGTATCCCCAAATACCTCTCATTACAAATTTTCCCACCAAAGCCTGGGTTCATGTTACTTAGGCTTTCCTTCTAGGTGAAGCGTTGTGATGATAGTCCATGAATCATTTTTTGGTTCTGAGTCATAATGAAAACCCCTTCTTTATTGGCTGTCATGATGCTATAAAGAAATTTTTCACCTTCATTGTCATGATGCTATAAAGAAATTTTTCACCTTCATTGTCATCTAGACCCATACCAGTCGGGCTTCAGGCCGGGACACAGCACGGAAATGGCATTGGTCACGTTGGTCAATGGTCTCTGGAGGGCCCGGGACAGGGGTTATTCCTCTGTCCTTGTTCTTTTGGACCTCTCAGCGGCTTTTGATACCGTGGACCACGGTATCATGCTGCGGCGTCTCGGTGGGTTAGGAGTGGGAGGCACTGTTATGCAGTGGTTCTCCTCCTTCCTCACCGACCGTACGCAGTCTGTATTGGCAGGGGGACAGAGGTCGACT